TTGTTCCCCGTGGGCCCGTGGAGGTTGGGGACCACCGCTGTAGGGTCCGTGGTCCTTTTCCTCGAATGTGCTTGCAGAACCTACCAGCCTGAAAAGCCGTGAGCTTCCCCCCACCCAGTTCAAGCAACCTAGAGTAGATGTATTAAGGTCTGCCGTGGTGCACGGAGACTTGTGAGCAGGCCCTTTTAATATCTTGAAAAGAAAAATCGCCCTATTTTCAAGCTGGCTTGCTGCCTCTTCCCTTCCACTTGTCCTCCCAGCGGCTTTGTGGCTCCCGTTATCCTGATTATGTAAAGCCGTCGGAGAGGGAGTGCTGTGTAAATTCAGCTTGAGCTCAAGTTCTTATTCTTGGGATGACTAAATCTGCTTTGAGCCAGTGCATGGTGCTGGGGTGGCCAGCCAGAGCTCCCCTCCGCTGGAAAGGCAGCACCCACCCCCCTTTTGTTCCCGTAAAGCGATTAGCTTAATGCATGTGGAACGGAGATGGAAGGGAAGAGTTTCCCTTGGTAAATGAGTGTTCCTCAAAGCCTGTTGCCAAATGGATAGCTTCTCAAATCAAAGGAATAAACCTTTAAGCATCAAAGAATCCCATCCTGTTACAAGTGTGACAGCCTAAGGAGTCGAACGCCCCCGAAACGTGTCCTCAGGACTCATAAAAATGAACAGATGCTGTTTTATCTGAGTGTCTATTATGTGTTTGTGTCTCTGGTCGCAGAGATAATAACATTTACTTAGCACGTCGCATAGCGCCTCTGACGCTGAGAGCACTCTGCGAGCATTACTTTCTGTGACAGCTGGGTGGTGAGGTGCCTGTTTTACCGCTGGGGAAACTGAGGCACGGAAGTTGGGGCTCACATCGGACCCTGGCATATTGCGAGCCGGTGGTTGAACGTAGGAGGTCTCGGCCCTGTGCGCAGCCCACAGGTCCGAGTCTTTACTGTGTTAATGCCCAGTATACCGTGAGTTAAGGATGTCCCCTGCCCCTTCCCCATAGACTTAACTTAAGACAGGAGCACTTTATAAAAGAGCTAACGTGACAGCGCCCCTTCTGAGAAAACCCTCTAAAGCAGACGCGTTGCAGTAGGGCGATACAGTAGCTATCTCTCCGCCGTAATCCTGCTGAGCTTTGATAGCGCTGCCTGCTTCTCTTCCTGCCAAAGGGGCTCAAGGTCAGGCCTTTCTCAGGAGGTGCAGCGGTGCATGTATCTTCCAGGGACAGTCTGCAGCAAAACAGCTGTGATAAGGGCTCAAAGTTGTGGAGAAGGAGGGCTTTTCAGCTCAGTACGGCGTGCGCAGGTCCTGTCCGTTTGCTCTCTCCTGGAAGTCGCAGCAGGTCAGCCAGAGCCGTTCCCCCGCCATGGAAGTTCAGTTGCACGAGGTGGGGAGCTGAGCCCAGAAAGACAGGGTGCCACCGCTGCAGCCTGTGTTGTTGCACATCTGCCCACAAAAGAGGGGTTCAAGGAGTCCTGACATGATGTTCACTGCCAATTCAAGCGAGACGGTTCACGGTCTCCGACCAGACCCCGCAGAACCACCGGCTTGGCCTGAGAATCAGATGTTAAAAAACAGAAAGCTAAAGCAAACCAAGTAAAAACCTCATTTGGGGGCCTTTTTATTTGCCTTCCGGTTTGGAGTCATTTCTCCCAGATGGGGTCATGTCTTTCAGGCGTTCCTCTACCACCCTGAGGGCTGGCAGATTGGGGTGTATTCCTTTCAGCTGAAATATTCCTGCTCATTCACATGACTCCAGAAGCTCGACCTTTTAAGGGGAAAAAAATCTATCCATTATCATGCAGTCGTGTGTATAGAATTATACAAGTGAAGGGCTGGAAGGGACCTCGAAAAATCGTCATGTCCACCCCCCCTGCTCCGGGCAGGAACGCCGCTGCGGTCAGCAAGGCGTCTGTCCAGGCCCCTCTTGAAGACTTCCAAGGTTGGGGACTGCACCCCCTCTTTGGGAAGTCTGTTCCCAATTCGGTGTCTGACCTCTCCTCTGTTTCGCACTAATTCGGTTCAGCCTTCAAGCGCCTGTTGCAGCCCTTAAGCGCGCGGCGTTTGGAGGGTAAACCCGTGCGGTCTGCCCCGTGTCCCCACCATGCGGTGACTACAAAGGAGCCTCGGCGCCTTGTGAATGAATGATGCAATTTTTCCCTTGCGTGGCAGTGGTGTGAGTCACCAGGAAATCCCGTCACACTCGTTATTCGCTGGAGCAGTGAGAGTGAGGCTGAGCCTTGATGTCAGATCCATGCCTGTTCTGTGGGAGGCTGTACCACAAACCTGAGTCAGCCTCCAGGTGTGGCAGGGCAGAGGCACAGCCGCGTTCAGACATGCCGGGGCCAATCAGACATGCTGTGTGCTGCTGGATGCACTCCCCGAACATAGCCCCCCTGGATGCGATACAAGCAGACCCAGCACGTTGCTTTGTCAGACCCCAGCCCCATGCAAGTCGGGGTGGGGGGGGAAGAAAAACTCCAAAAATATTTTAAAACCTTCTCCTCCGTCCCCACCTCCACACTGTGCTTTACTGATTTGCATTTCAGTGCATTGGTTTTTCCTCCTCCCACCCCACAGGAAGTCTTTGAGGCTGAGTCAGCTGTTGGAGACCCTTGGCTGGCAGCCCCTGCGTAGTGCGAATGCATTACTAGCCGGCATATAAAATATCCTGTGTCGTGGCCTGGAGGACACGTTGGCTCGGGGTCTGCCAGCTGGGGGGCCTGGAGATGGAGGATTGTCCGCTCTGAATAGCGTGCACCGTGATACAGGCTGAAAAGGCTCCTGCCTGCCCCAGTGGGTGCAGACGTAACCTTAGACGACCTGTCTGCCCGCTGCCCCGGGCTGGCTGTTTCCAGTGGCTGAAGAGGAGGCAGGTCATCTTTTTAATCGCTTCAGACAAACAGGCCGGAGAGGTCTGTGAGTGCATACACTGTTCCAGGTCTGAGGCGTGGGGCTCCCCTCCTCTCTCCCCCTCTTGAAGGGATGGAAACACGCTGCTGCCCGACCCCTGCAATGGAGCAACCGCCCCCGTGTCTGCAGAAAGCATCACACCCACGCCTGCTTCCTCCGGAGGGTGATGGGGCAGAGTTGTTCATAGCCCAAGGCAGCTCATTCGTTGTCTGTGTGATGCCTCCTGTAGCAGGGTCCCAATCCCTGCTTGGGACTCCAAAAGTTGTGGCAGCACTGTAAGAAACCCGGAGTCAAGGTGGGCGAAGACATGATCACAGTTTACAAACTGCACCGCGCGTGTTGGCTTGCGGGGAAGGGCAGCGCAGGGTCCCGACGGCACACTAAGCATCCCTGCTTCTGAAAACCAGTGGGATGAATAGTAAGAGAAGAGCTGACCTGCACATGGCTGGGCAGTGTGTGGGATCACCCTCTCCCGAAGGCCCCTTGAGCACAATATGCTGTGCAGCCAGCTCCGCTGCCTCTATTCATTGAAGGGAGGGAGGCATAGACAGTCCTCTTTAAAATAATGGTAATCTGCCTTGCTGGCATGCCAGCATAACCCTCCCAAATGCCAGGGCTGGCAGTCAGTTCCCCTGCCAAGATGCAGGCACTTTCCCCATTAACTTTCTTTAATGCTAGCTGATGGGGCATGCTCGATGCAGCGCTGCCTGCCCATCCTTTCCACTGGGAAAGCCGGTGAGTTCAGTGCCACGATCAGGACAGCCGCGGGCGTGCTGCGCTCGAATGTCACCACTGCTCTCGGTAATATCCTGCTTCCTTTCTTGTCCTTTCTAATTGTGCTGCAGGAAAAGCTGGTACAGGCAGCACTGTATGTAGCCTGTTTGGGGAGCCTCTCTTCCACCCTTCCAAAGACTAAAAATATAAACCAGGGTCCGAAGGTGAAAGGATGAGAGTTAACCTGGATGCAATGTGGCAGCTAAAGGCGGATATTGCAATCAGCTGGTTTTTGAGGAGCGGGGTAGCTACCGTCCTGGATACGGTGCCGGGTCCGAGCTCATAAGTTGGCGAAGGGGCCCTGTGCATGGGAGAGAGGGGATGTGCTTGGTGTCAGGGAGGAAGGGAAGGAGAGCCCTATAGGATGGACTGCATTTAGTGTACGGCCCGCTATTAACCCTGGTCCTACTACTACTTGAGCATCTTTCTAGGATAAGACTAGAAAGGCAACCTGGCGAGAAGAACGATGTGATGGCGTCCTGTCGGAAATGCGTCTTTTTTGATCCGTGAGAGTCTTCTTTTGCTTTGTGTCCGTGCCTGGAGGCAGTATGAGATCCTGGACAGGGGCTTGGGAGACCTTGGTTCTCTTCGCAGCTCTGCCAATGACCTTCTTCAGGGCAAGTTGCTTCTCCTTCCTTTCCCACACTTTCTTGTCTTGCGTACTGAGACTGCTAGTGCTTCAAGGCAGGGACTGTCCCTTCGTGTGTGTACAGTAACAGCGCAGTGGCCTCAGGGCCATTAGTAATACAGTATATGTCGCCGATGCTAGAAATAGCCTCGGGGGCTGTATGTACGTGGCGATTATATGCAACTAGGCTCGATCACAAGAGTAATTGGATTGGCTTAGCGGGGATTGAAGCCACGTGCTTAATAAGAACAGTAGCAGTCATTGTTTTTAGTCCTAGACAGGTAGGTGTCTGCCCCAGCGAGCTTCCAGTCTACAGAGACCACATGCCACAAAACCTAAGGCAAGGACAAGGGAGGCTTGCAACCCATGCCCCTTTTATCCCCTCGCCTGGACAGGTCATGACTTATCACTTGATAGCCCGAATATGCCAAACCTTGAAATCAGTGGTACGCTATCCTTCAGGGTGGTATTCGGCATACGGCACAAGGCTGTCTGTTTTCGGGGGAGTGGTACAGGAAGTGGGAAGTTGTAAAGCAGGGGCAGCTGGGCACGGTTGTGAGCTTTGAGGGGTTATTTTTTTCCTTTTTAGGAATCGGTGTGTGTTGAGTAAGAGGAAGCACAAGCCGGTGATCATCCCACGGCACACTGCCCGTTCTGCAATGGAAGCTGACTTCTCTCTCCTCTTTTTTTCCAGTGCTGCTCACAGCGGTGAACTGTTACAGTGTGAAAGCTGCCACTCGTGTCCAGGATGCCTTTGCAGCAGCCAAGTTGGGGGCGCTTGCCTTGATCATCATCCTTGGCTTCGTTCAGCTGGGGAAGGGTGAGTATGTCTCCTCTTGCTGTTGAGGGAGGGAGCGGGTCTTGGGAATTTTCTCTTGGTTTCTGCTACTTATTCCTTTGCTGGCTTTGGTGTTCATGTTTTCTACCAATAGATGTAACAAGGCATGCACATACATCGCTTTTCTTTGAGGCAGGTGGTGGTTTTCAATGATGCAGCCACAGCCGGCGGCTCTTTCTTGAAAACCCAGCGTACGTACTTAGCCGTGGTATCTTCGTACCTGGATTTGTGAGTGATAATGCAAGGCTGTTGCCTCTTCCACAGATTTCAGTACAAGTGGATTAATTTTCTTGCCAAATAACTGATAGGGAAGCCGCTCTTGCATCTTGTCTTAGGACAGATCAAAGTTTGACTCTCTCGTTTATCCATCGTGAAATAGCAGGCCCCAGATCAGATCAGCAACGCATCACATCCTGACGACTTCGTTTTAGTGTTTTTATGATGTTAAAAATACACTTGATGTTAAAAATAAACTCAAGCTTAGAGGCTGCAAGACTGCCTTGCTCATGTTGGGACATACATACCTGGACCCTGACTCCTTCCTCCATCATCTCTCAGGAAATAGTAACAACTGCCTACAGAACGTGCGTTCACCTCCAGAATGTCTTTATTTGGGCCTTTTAATAACAATAAAGGTGAAACGTGACCCTCCGAGCGCTTCTAGAGTCCCATGAGATTAATTGTCCTAAAAAAAACCCATTTTGTTCTGATGAACAATCATTAGGGTGCTATGGCGGAGCACCTTTGGGGTGCTCGCCACAAGGCATGGGCTGCGGTGTAGGGGAGGTACGGAGCCACGGATAGCGCCCCCTGACATCGGGGCAGTAAATGGGCAGCCTCCCACCTAATTAAGATTGATCGATTAATTAATAACAAGGCATGGCAGGCGAATCAGGTGGGGGGGTGTGCCCAAAAACAAGTGGGGCAGCTAGCATTGTGGCTGGTCGGGGAGTCCCACTTTGCCACAGGTGCATTGCAAGCCTGTCATAAACCCATGGGAAGAGC